CGGCAAGAACTGACGGCTGGGGCTCGAGGACGCGGACCCTCAAACCGTGCAGGGAACGGAAGGGAAGCCAGTGTGGAAGCGCAGGATGCAAGCGCGCCCAGGCGGCACAGACCACAACCCACTGCTTACTAAAAAAAAAAAAAAAAAAAAAAATTATATATATATATGTATATATATATAATGCAAAATGACAACATCTTGGCAAAGATGAAAGTTTCTTCCTAGCTCCAAGTGGCCGCTCTAAAGGGAGGGTCACCCGTGTGGCTTGGCGCGGTGGGGGATGTGCTGTTTCCGGTGCAGACCCCCCTCTCCCGTTCTCCAAATTGGCACAGGTTGCGGCTTTTCTTTGGCCGCCTTTCCTGTGAAGATGTGAAGATGTGTTCTGCAGCATCACATGGTCAGTGACTCCAGGACACGGTGTCTTCTTTTGCTGCAAGTTAAGATTTATAATTTAGAAAGGAAAGACCCACCGGTGGGCAGGTTGTTAGTAACAGAGGGATTAGGTTTAAAAGAGGGTGCGGAATTAATTGTGCCCTGGGTTTAGGCCTCAGGGAAATTACAAAAGGATCAGGGACAGTTAGTTCAATGGGGAAAAGCCAGGACTGTTTGTTTTCAAGAAGGCATTTTCATTCCTGCATTTACCTATGAAACTTCAAGCTTTAGCAGGCCTATTAGAGCAGTTTTTCTTCATTCCTTTTTTTTTTTTTTTAAATATACCAAGCTCCTAGGACTCAAAACTTCAACTACAGATAGTTTTTCTTTCCTTCTCTCTTTTTTCTTTTCCTAAGCATAAAGAGTCAAGGGGCATGCCAGCAAATCTTGTGTATAATGTTGCAGTGGTGAAAAGGATTGAAGGAGAACAGTTTGACTTTATAAGAAAAGGAATTGGGTCTAAAAGTCACATTTCATTCACATCTAAAAACCAGTGGTATGTTTTCCTCAGAGAAAAATCTTTGAAGTGAAGCAGAACTGAAGTTTTCCTTCAGAGTTGTGTTCTAAATAAATTCTACTTTATTATTTAAGAAATGCCAAGTTTTAAAAGGAGTCCTATCGGCTACTGCCCTAGTTGTGTGTATTTTAGGATTCCATCAGGAATTTTTACTGGTCACTTCTGTACCTCATGCTTTGCTTTATCTCAGGATGGAGGGCTGAATTTTCCAACTCGGCTGAACATCCTATGAAAACATTGCCACCACATCTAGAAGCAGACCCTTTTCTGCTCACTAACTCTTTAGGCAGAGTTTTGATGAGGTGTGAGAGTCTCGAATGTGAAAACTTTCTCCTTTGTAACTGACAGAGACAAAGTTGGGTTTTTATCAGTAAAAGAAGCTGATATAATTTATAGGGATATACAGGAAGCAGATGTCTGCCTTGGCAAGTTGCCATTTTTATAGCCCGGTTCCAAGCATAAACCACACTTTTAAATAATTAGCTACTAACTAATGAGATCCAAAAATAAGTTGTCAAAATAGAAGAAGGGGGTAGACTTTCCAGTGACCAAGGGCCTATTTCTAAAAAAAATCGGTTTTGAACAGGAGGATGGGGGAGAAATTAGTATTCTCCAAGACCATTAATTAGTGTGATTTCAATCAGAGCCTGGGGCTTTACCTCTTCTTGGGAGCCTCTCTCTGGTGATGAGTATTTGGAGGGTTTTTATTGCTTTGTTAAAATGAAGTCCTTTGCTTGGGGGAAAACCAACAACTCCACAAAAACCAAGTTTGTCAAGGAGCTTTGGCGACTTCTCACTGCTATTAATTAGTTTCCTCTCCTAAGGAAGAGACAGACTGAATTCCTACCAAGAATCCCATCTCTTCTTCTTCTTCTTTTTTTTCTATTCCATTAGCTGATTTCTGTGTCTGGTATCAATAAACTCCATCCAGATTGCACTGATAAAACTCTTATGTGTGTTTCAAGGGAAACAGTTATAGTAAGTGCCTCTTTATCCAAAATGGTTGAAAATGGAGTGTTTTGATTGATTAAATATTCCTGTTAAAGTTTTTGTATAGTTTTCCGGTTTACAAAGAAACGCTGGCTACAAAAGAAAAGATATGTAGCTAAGTCAGTGGCAATTAAGATTGAAGACTGATGAACTGAGTCACAGGATCATTGTTGGACTGTGTATTTACATAGTAAACACTCTTGCAGGTATGAGGTGCTGAGGAAATAGCCAGGGGCTTGTCCTCATGGAGTTTAGGGTCTAGAGGAGAAGACAAGACATTCAGCAAAGATTCCAGACGGACGCAGAGTTGATTAGGATGGTGGTTGGGATGGGCTGTTGGAATTCAGCACTTCATTCTTTAGTTCGTCCAGTCTGCAAAGATTTCAGTGAGGACCTACAGCGTTGAATACAGAGTGGTGAACAAAAACATGTCTGCAAGTTCAGTGATCTTGATAATCACCACTGCTGTTTGAAATAGAGGTTCGGGGGCCACCTCCGAGCACAGGGGTTAGGCTGGCAGCTCTGAATGTTTCACTGAAACAAAACAAGGCTGATTCAGATGGCGCTTGTACTACCCTGAGGAACAGTGCTGTGGACGAGGTTGAATGGTTCTAATTGCGTGCTTTAAACATGATATTTAAATCAATTTAGATCCCTTCTTGGCCTTTTGGCTAAGATCAAGTATAAATCAATTTGGGGGGAGCATTCAAACAATTTAAAGAATTGTTCTGGGTTTGGTAGAGCTGGAAGGGATGGTCGATAATTTCTCTTTCAAGGGTTCTTGATCTGGGTTGGAGGGCCTGTGATCCCTTGAAAATCAAATGGACAGTTTTTTGTGTGTGTTTAGGTCTATTGGGGAATTCCCTGGTGATCCAGTGGCTAAGATTCTGAGCTCCCAAAACAAGGGGCCAGGGTTAAGTCCCTTGTTAGGGAACTAGATCCCACATGCCACAACTAAGACCTGGTGCAGCCAAATAAATAAATAAAAATAAATATTAAATGTCTTCTATTAAAAAATGGCTATGGGGGGGGGAGGATCCATAAGTTTTAACATCTCCTTAAACAAGATTGGACACCCCACTGCCCCCAAGGTTATGTCCCTCTGTGTGACACTGTCTTGTGACAGAGAAGGAAACTGAAAGTGAAAGTCGCTCAGTCGTGTCTGACTCTTTGTGACCCCATGGACTATACAGTCTCTGGAATTCTCCAGGCCAGAATACTGGAGTGGGTAGCCGTTCCCTTCTCCATGGGATCTTCCCCACCCAGGGATCGAACCTAGGTCTCCCACATTGCAAGTGGTTTCTTTACCAGCTGAGCCACAAGGAAACTGAGGTGCCGGACAACTCCAGGGGACATCAGTAAGGCCCTACCCATTGGCTTGAGCACCATGGCAACCGTCAGAAAAGAAGGCCTACGGTCCTTCACTATTGTGATCTGTTGGGCTCTTTGAGTAATGTTTCTGAATTTGGAGTGGATCTTATAATTGATATGTAAATTTAACCTAGGGTGTCTTTTTGTCTTTTTTATTCTAGAAAAGCTGTTCTTAAATAACTTGTGTGCCTTTCAGTGAATGCCAGTGGATAATCAAGGAGAAGATGTAGAAGTTACTGGAAGAGCTGTTGCTCCAGGGCCACGAGGCCTCTGGGCCTTCAGCTTTTCTAGTTAGTTATTCTAGGTTTCCTCTACTATAAAGACAGCATTTGCAGTTCCCTTGCAAATGTGAGTTAAGGTTGACTAAGAATCCTCCATCTCTTTCTTTAAGATGTTTAGTCCATGACCGGGTTGCCTAGTTTATTTCACTAATCGTTTTGATGGAACACAGTGGTATCGGCTCAATGTAGAAAATAGGCAGATGACTCCATGGAAGAAATGCCCGCAATCTAGATAACTTAAGGGAAACATGGTAGAGAGGGGACTTGTTGTCTTTTCTTGTATTCTTTGTTGTTGTGGATCATGACTGCAAAAAAGGGACATGAACCAAACAGAGAGAAAATTGATGAATGATGAGCTAGGGCGATTATCACATGAATGACACCAGTGAAAGACAGACTAACTGCCCTGCCTTTAGCTGAGTTTTAATATTTCTTAAGTGGTTCTAGCCTTTGCTGTCCGTGATCTTTTGCCTTTTCCTTTAGGATCCAGAGTGTGTTGTTCTGTCACCTTTGACGTTTTAAAAACGTAACTTCAGTGAATGGAAATGTTCTGCTATTTAGAGAAAGCTTCAAGAATATGGTTTTCCTGAATGAATTAGACTTAAGAGGTGTTTTGCAGTTCACATATCTTAGTGAGGAAAGCACAATCATTGACCAGTGTCCTCTGATTCAAATGGATGGGAGAAACCGTTGGTCACTCTTTTTTTCTTCTAAAAGATTTCTTTTTTTAATGTGGTCCATTTAAAAAAATCTTTATTGAATTTGTTACCTTGTTTCTCTCTCTCTTTTTTTTTTTTTTTAACTTTTTGGCCATGAGACATATAGTATCTTAGCTTCCCACCAGGGATCAAACCCACAGCCCCTGCATTGGAAGGTGAAAACTTAACCACTGGATGGCAGGGATGGCCTTGTCAGTCACTCTTTAAAACATCGAATTAATAACTAAAAGCTGTCCCTGGCTTAAAAAGTTGTCCTACTTCCCTTTCTTATAAAGTTGGCCACCTTCTAATAAATGTCGGAGACATTTGGAGATGTGGCTTGAAGGAGTAATTTGACACTTGGGTTTTTCACCAAAATCACAGCTGAAAATGGAGATACTTAGACTGTTTAATAGGAAATGCCCTGTAGGATTTTGGAAGAAGTCCCACATTATGGACAAGTGCCTCTGTCCTTCTTTTGCACATGTAGACAGAATTCAACCGGCTTGTTACTAGAACTTTGAGGCCTTTTTGTAAGAAAATTTGTGAGGAAGGGACGTCCAGATTTCACATCGGCTGATGCTCTAGGCTAATGCCTAGGCTGATTTTGAATTGGCTGATGCTCCTCAGGTGACAGGTGAAGTGGCTTTTGGGATTTCTTTTTTCCTCCATCTTATCTGAGGTTGATGGTGCTGTTGTGGATTTTTTCAGGGATTCCTGGTTGCCAGAGCTGAAGGAATGAGAAGGCGTCATGGAGGCCCAGTCCCAGAGCTCGACGACCACTGAGAAAAAGAAAGTGGAGAATTCCATAGTGAAATGCCCCACTCGGCCAGATGTCAGCGAGAAAGCCGTGGCCTCCAGCACCACTTCCAATGGTGAGCGGCCACGGGAATTCTCTGCAGCCAAGCCTGCAGTCCTGTTCTGTGCTTGACATTCCTCGTGAACTGAACGTTTGCACCTGGACCTGTATTTGTCCTCTGAGAGGCTAAAGAGCATAAATGGAGGTGGTGGGGGGAGGGGCTTGGGATGGGCAAGCTTTCGGCATCTCTATTTTGGCAGTGAAACTACATGTTTTCTTCCAAATTTTCTAATTTGAGATGTAAATGTGATAGGTTATTTATTATAGGAAGTTCCTGTTTTGGCATTTTGGAAATCATCTTGATGAGTCTGGCAGGACTTCAAAACACTTTGCATTTCACATCGGAAGTCTCCACTCATCAGGATAATTAGTGATTAGCTATTACAAAAGACACAAGCGCTGTCTTGTCCAAGTTAGTGAGAGGGTCCCCTGCCAACCCCCCAAACCCTGAGGAGTCCACTAAAAGATTTTAAAAGCTGTTAATGGTTGACCCTTCAGTAGTGGTTGAAGGTTGAGCCTCATCTAGTTTCTGAGATGCAGGGTAATGTCCTTAATTTGCGTTCAGAGATAACAGAGAGCTACTGTTTCTCTGTGCTGTATGTTTTAATATTTTAAGCGTAGTGCTGAGAGGCATTTCAATTTAAGCATGGAGCCTTGAAAATAAATTCCAGACCCCACCTCTGGTAAAAACAGACTGAATGAGTTAATGGTAACCTTTGCTTCCCGTCCTTGCTTTTCATTCCTGCTTTAAGACCATCAGCTCCTTAGCTTTCTGTAGATTTCATAGCCACCCTTGGCCTTCATGAATTGCACTCTGCTTTGCCATGTGTCCTTGGGAAGGATAGGCTGGCCCACTCTCAGTCCTGGACACTGCCTACCTGGGTAAATGAATTTGAATCTGCTGAACCAACCTGCTCCCTCCCTCCCTGTGGGTTTGTGTTTTATTTATTCCAAGAAAGGTTTGACTAGGTTGATTTCTAACTTTTTACATGCAATGAAATGGGAGGGTCAGAATCTGCTTTGGAAGGTCACAGCCTCGAACCATAGGCTATAAGTGCAGACATCCAGTAAAAAAAGCTGCACCTTCCAGTAATGGAGTCTACTTTTTGCGTTATTCCTCCAGTGGAATTATAGAAGTCATATTTTCTCCCTAAAAAAGCTCCCCATGGCCCTTGCTTCTTTTCTCTGGAATTTGTAAAAATTAGACACATTTATTATTTCAGACAGAGTCAGTCTATGCCGTGTAGGTGATTTGGGAATTTTAATAGGAATTTTTTAGTGATGTGTGTGAATGAGTGAGCCTGTGTGTAAGTGTGTGTGTGAGAACAGGGGAGGCATGTAAGTGGGTAGAAGCTGGTGCTACCACGTGGAGTGTCCATAAGCCCCTGTCCTTTCTGTGAATTTCAGCAGAGTAACCACAGCGACCTATCCTTGGTGAAGGTGCTGCCAAGTTGGCCACTCTGGCACCAGAATGCAGGCTGGGCAGGTTTTTGGTGCTGCCGCATTTGTCTTGAGCCACTCTGATCATGAGTTGTCCCCATTAACTTCCTTCGGGTGCCCGGGAACGGTGCTAACCTAATCAGCCCCTGGCAGCCAGGAAGCCACTGGGGAACAGTAGCCAGGGAAGGAATAGTCACAGTTTACACAAGTTAGTCCATGAGTCCCAGGTAACCACAGAACTGACTGAATCTGAATTCCATGGGTTTTCCACCCTGATCAGGCTGGGTTCTCAAAGCACCCTCTAAGTGGGTGTAAAGCATCCTATTTGGGGGCAAAAGCTCATTAGTCAGGTTTGTAGGGCTCCTGCCTGAATGATAGCCTTCCTAGAAGCCCTGTGAGTGCTGACCATTTTTTTTCCAACGTTCTATTTCTTGTAAGGGATTTACTCCTTTTTATTTTGGGATAGCCTAAAGAGCTGATCAAATAAAAGGGAAGTGGAGGTGGTGTTTGTAAACATCAGTGGCAGTCCTGCTGGAAGGTTCCAGGGAAACCAGCAAATAAGTTTAAAGAAAAGAAAAAGTAAAATAAAGGAAAATAAACTTCTTTCCTTGTGTTGGCTTTACATAAGCAAAGCTAATAATGGTAATGATTTTTTAATATAAATTTCTCTGCAGGAGGCATCTAACTATCTAACTAGTTCAGAGCCTCTTTATGGTGCTAGGATCGTGCTCAGGGGGTGGAATGGCCCAGCTTCTTTGTTCTGCCAGCTTCTACCTGGTGGCATGTTGCCCTTTGCTATCAGTTGTGGTCACACAGCTAGTCTGGGGGCTTTGGTCTGGGTTTGATTTGGGTTTTAGAGTTAGTGGGAGGTGGGCACACTGTCACTGCCATGGTCATTCATTTATTTGTCAGTTCTGTCTTTTCTCTGAAACAGTTCAGAAGTGGTTGGATACCTTCACTGAGGCTGTTCACAAAAAGGCTATGAAAATTACTTAGATCCTACTACATGTAGTACCAGTTGCTACTGTTTCCATGGGGTTCTTAGCCTTTCCTTACAAAGCTGTGAAATTTAGAGATTTGTAAATGAACAATTAAAAATAAGTTCCATACCAAGATATATTATGGACATAATCTGTGTATTTTCTCTCTCCCATCCACAATTTCAAGAGTAAAAGAAAACAAACAAAAATTTTTTGTTATTGGCGCTGTGTTGGGTTGACTTAATTAACTTTTCCAGCCATTATGTGCTGCAATTTGTTCCTGATTGTGGAGCCTTCCAGCCAAACCACGCACATTCCTCTGCATGTCCTTACAGATTTGTTTTCTTACTTTTCTCAGTTGAGTATCTACTTCTAGAATAACAAGTCATACATTTTGTGTAAACGTACACATACACACAACCAACATGTATGGTTCAAAAACCTGAAGCAACATTTTAAGGAAGGATTTGTCTCAACATTGAACTTGAAAATAGCACAAGTGAAAAGCTGTTTTGTAATTTATGTGGAGCCAAACTGATTTTTGTAACATTTAAGAACCTATATCAACATATGAAGCATTCATTACACTTATTCAGGAACCACAGTGTATGTTTCATTTGCTATAGTTTGACTTTAAGCTTTAGTGTTATCTATTAAGCATAAATGATGAGAGGACATTTAGTTTTCTGAATATTTGTTCAGTGCAGCTGACATGTAAATGATCATTTTTGGCATCCAGGATGGTGTCTTTCACATATAAAGTGTGCACTCAGATATTAGTTGTCATTGTTTACTTAAAAATCTCTAAGTCTGTTAATATGCTAGTGCCTTAAATGAAATGCCTTAATGATCTGTTTTGTTTTTTTGGGATGAATTCATTAGTTTCCAAGCTGCATGTTGTATTTTGTAAATAACAGACTTTTTTTTTTTAATCTAGATGTCCCAATGTATTAAACATTTTCATTGTCCTGTTAAATCTCCTTCGATGACTTGCAAACGCTGACTTTTCAGTGTGAGGTGTTTTGTCTCATTTTTGGTCTATGATTTTTTTTTTTAAGAGGTAATCTGATATTTCTCATTAACCTACTACTCTGCTTTAAAAAAGAAAGTAATAATAAACGTATGTAGGTCCTGGTTTTGGGGATCTTTTATCAGATCTGATAGTTATTGGGAACATACCTTAAAGTGATAGAAAGCAGAAAGTATTATCTTAATGGTGATGCAATGTGAAACCAAAGCTAATAGATTAATAAGGGAGAAGAAGTTCCCTGTTCTCTTTGATTATTTCAAAAAGAAGTGCTTGGTTCTCCTCTGCTTAAAAAAAAAAATTCTTTGAGGTTTCTAAGGGGAAAGTGTTGTGGTCGGCAAATATGTAGGAGATGCTTTTTTAAAAAAACTTTAACTTCTGATTGCTTCCTGGCCTTGTGATTTTCTTTCAAACTGTCCAGTAACTCTTATGAGTATTAATTGGAATATCTGTTGGTCTCCTTGCTGGGAATAAGATAGCTCAGAATTTTGTTGAGAGTTTGGAGTTTGTCAGCCGCTCACCACCAGGATCTCTTTTCTTTTTGACCTTTTTTATGGTAAGAGTTTATAGACCTAATTCTGCTCAGAAATGGGTGGACGGTTCACACCAAAAAGCCAGTAGATTGTGAGTTTTAGGTTGCCTGTCCCTTTAGATATCCAATCCCTTTTTTCTTGGCCACATCCCATTTCCTGGCACATGACAGATGGACAGATGGACGGAAAGGACTTTCAGATAACACGGTTTCACACTGTGGGGTGTTGGATAGGAATACCCCAGGGATTGGGCTGAAAGTTTGAGCTGAGTTTTGGCAACACGAAGGACTAGCTTGGTGAATGTGGGCAAATTCACTTCTCAAAGTGTTGATTTCCTCATCTGTTTATCAAGATACTAATTAGACCCACTTCATAGGATCTTCAGGATTAAATGAGGCAGTGCCTATACATAGTAAGAGATTAGCAAACGTTAGCCAGCGTTATGGGAATGAATTAAATGTTACGAATCCAAAACAAAAAAGATCATGCTGTTTTGAAAATGCACATAGATTTTGAAATTAATGGAAAAATGATTGGCAAAAGTAATTTTGAATTCGCTGAACTCTGTCTGAAAAACAGTTTAAGATGCTTCACAAATCCTCAAAGTGACCAAGTTTACACATCTTAAGGAAGGATGGATTAAAAAAACACACCACCACAAAAATCTGTGTAACTTCCTTCTGAATGCCTTCTTCAGCTAGAAAATGGGAAAGACAATTTTGAGAAAATTTATTTTGATTTAACTTTGAAAAACTAACAGTGCTTTCATATTGTCTTAATATTAGAAACAACATACAGTGCATCTGCTTTCTTGATTCCTTTTAGGGGTAAACTGTTTCCTTTCAGGTTAGTGGTACCCATTTATAGAGTAGTTAGTGCTGCATTAAATTTTATGCTTGTTCAAAGAGTTTTCATGTTTTTAAACCAACTAACTCAAGACGAATAATCTGATTCTCATAAGAGCTCTGACATCTCTTGAGCTCTCAGGAACTCATGTGTTCCTAAACCTGGCAACCTCTGTCTTCTTATTTTGGCA